AAGGAGATTATGGTGATATCATTGGAGGATTTAACTGTGCTCTTGTTATCTTAGGAATATGGGAAGCTGTTGAGGGCCCAAGGAGAAAGCTGAGAGTTTCTTTGCTATAACAGATTCTGAAAGCTTTAAGATAACTGCTTAGAGGATGAAAGCGCCGCTCGCTGCGTGGAAAACCAGATGCACAGTCAGAAGCAATTGTGCCTAGTTCAATTTCTGCCTGTGCTTTCCATGTGTTAATGAAATACAGCAGTGATTGCTTGGTAAATAACTAGAGACTGCAACAAAATCCAACCTATGTTTATTTTTAAACAAATTCTGGAAAATATTCCGGTTTTATAGAAGAGATCCCAAACTTTGACAGAATCATAGACAGAAGGTTGACTGGGAATCAGGCACATGGAGGTGCTGTGTATTTTTCCACAGTGGTCCTGTTCTAGAAGGACTTTTATCCTGTTATTTTGCAGGAACGAGGGTTGTTTGCAAAGACCCCCCTCCTGTTGCTGTGGGAGGAGGGCAGATGCTGTGTGTTATTGCAGGGGGCTTTGCATGGGCCTCCCACGTGCAGAAGATCTGGGTGTCGTGTGGTATTTGACCTTGAAAGACTACCTTAAAGTGATCAAAAATACGTTTTTCAGCTGGCTTGAATGATTATCTAGCTTTCTCATTGACGTTTAAGCCGGGTGGTTGTTGCTCGCGCTCTTATCCCCGCTAGTAAATATTATTTGTAAAAGCTCTGAACTTCTGTCAGCCGCTCCTTGCTTGCTGCCTCTGCCAAGCCGTGCGACTCCTCGCCCACTTCGCACCAAGAAAGGGTACGGAGCAGAAGAGGAGAGGCCCAGCGGGAGTCGCTGCCAATCTGATCTGGGAACGCCACGTGTCCGTGCCCCAAATAGGGGCTGGAACAGGCTCGCTGCCTTTTTGGGCTTCTTTTACCAGTGCAAAGCAGGAACCTTGCGTAAAACCTGTACGTGCCCTCCGTAAAGGGCGTGCTAGGAAGGCCTGCATTGCTAAGGTCATGGAAATGACTATTCCCGCCGCAGGATCGTGCGGATAGTCCCTGGTGGGACCCTGTCCTGTCACCACCGCAGCCGTTGGCCCTCCTTGGAGTGGTTTTTTTCATGCATTTGGGGACGTTTCGCACTTGCTGCAGCTCTTGGATGCCCAAATCCTCCCTTCTGCTCCATGTGCCGCTGGGATCAGCGCTGGGATCCGCTAGTGCAGATATGCCCGGAAGGAGGAGCGCGCGGAGCAGGTGCTGCTGCCTCCAGGGAAACCCTCTCTGCTTCCGCTCTTTTCCTCACTCCTCCCTTCCTGGCCTCTCATCCCTCAGTAGTTCTTGCTTTTCCATCCATTTTATATGAGCTCCTACCAGCCTGTTTTAGCTTCGCCCTCGCTCCTGTGGGTTTTGCCTGTCCCATCCTTACTAAAATCTGGCTGATGGGGCTTGTTAGCGTTTCCCATGGGCTGTGGCGAGGAGAGTATTATCATTCCACATGAAAAGCTGTAGCCTCTCAAGGGCCAACGCTGATCACCCACGGATGTGTTCGTATTGCCTTGGATAGCCCAGCGTTGCATTGAGGACCCCGTGGTTTTTCCTTGGTGCTTTCCCTCCCTGGCTGCAGAAATGGGCAAATCTGGCTGCTTCTGTTACCTAAGTAGGGAAACCTGAGCAAAAATGGTCAAATCTTCATAAATGCACCAGTGTCAGTGAAATTCAGTTAAATTCCGGTTACTGTTTCCTCCTTCCCCTCCCAGAGGGTCTCATCTAAGGTGAGGCAGCAGCTTGATAGGACGTTTGGGAATAAAATCCAAACATCAGCCGTATCCACCGCGGCACCTTTGATATCTACAGCAGTGAGTAGCCAGTTGGAGAAGGATGTTATTTACCGTGTCACCGAGGGGTTATAGGCAGCATAAACTCAGGGAAGGAAGTCAAGCAGGACTTGCAGACTAGAAATGAACTTGCTGCTCTTCCTCTCTTCATTCCTCTTTTCCAGAAAGCAAAAAACAGGCAACTGGAAAAGCAGGACGATGCCTCTGAGAGATTCTTCTCCTCGGGCTGGTGGTAGTGGACGGGATGCAGTGCGAGCGGCAGCGCTGGCCGGGGCTCCAGAGGGTTACACAAGCTCACGGAGCGGGATGAGTTGGAAGGAAAACACGAAACCATCCTTCTTTTTTGGCAGGATCTGTGTTAGAGACACAGAAGTCCATACATTTGTAATGCGGATTCCATCAGGCCTAGGGAATCCATGAGTGGCCACTAAGGAAATCACTGGGCTATTCAATCATCCGTGCGCGGGGCTGGGAACATCTGAACGTATTAAATCCGCAGAGCTCTTCCATTTATCACAGCCTTTTTTTTTCCATGTTAGGAGGAAGGGAAAGCAGAGGGAAAGCAAGGGAAGTGGGATGACTCTGCACAGGATTTGCCCTACCTCTGAGGAGATTCCGGGCTCTATTCTCGCTCGGAAAACCTCATGGAAAAGCAGCCAGTGCGGTTTGCGAGAGCACAGGATGTTTGCTTAGCGGGGCGACGGGAGGTCTCTGCCTTCCCGCGGGAATGCCCGCCGCTCCCGCGGGATGTGCTGTCATTCCAGGCTCCCGCTTGCTTTTCTCCTGCCGCTTAAATTATTAAGGGAATCTGCTCGCAGAGTCCCTCGCATTCGAGCTTGTTTGCGGGCGATCCCTCGCGGTGATTCGTGACCCGGTATAAACAGCAATTAGCAGGAGCGGGTGGCGCTTACGAAAGCTTTGGGCCTACGAGCGTCAACAGCTCCCGGGAAAAGCTGAAATTAGGGGTGGAAATAAAGTTCTTGTGCCAAATGCCAGAGTAGGAGTCACTTAAAGGTTGCTCTAGCCTTGATGAGGAGCAGTGGGTTGAGGTGGCTCTTGTGGGCAGGTGGCACCATCTCAGCTGGGTCCCCAAGGACCCTGTCTTGGCTGGCGGGAGGGATCCCGGCGGCGCCGCTGGCCGCGCTCCCGGCCCCGTCCTCCTGCGCCGCGCGCCTGGAGCGCAGCCCGCCTTGGATTTCCGGCCTTCCTGTTGAATCCAGCCCCAGCACGGAGGCGTTTTCCTTCCTCGCCGGGGCCGCGGGCCGTTCATGGGGCAGAGCAGCCCCTTGTCCCGGTGGGGACTCCTCCTGGCCCAGTGCCCCCGGTGACACCGCGCTCGCTGCCCGTCCCCAGGTAAGGGACCCTCGGGGGCTCCCCGGCATCAACCCATTCTCCTGCCGAAACTTTTAGGGCTGCCTTTTCTGAAAGGGGCTTCTCCATTTCTTGTCCTTTTTGAAGCAAAGTCAGAGTGTTAAAATATATCCCCGTGTAGGAGGATACATATTTTTTAATATTCAGTATTTTAATATTGAATTATTCAATATTATATCAATATTATTTAATATTCAATATTTATATTTTTATAAACAGCAGGGCAATGCAAGGTTTCAGAGGTGTTTTGGCCCGGAAAAATCATCTCTGTAGTACAACCACAGCTTATAAAGCAGTATTATTTGACTTCTCTGATTCACCGTATAAATATATCTCCCTACGGACGTGGTTTGGCTGGGAAAGGGGCCTAGCCCTGTGTTCCCTTGCTTCCCTGCTGCCCGCCCACACATGAGGTCCCACTTTGTCCAAGGAACACGGCGCTGCTGGTGCCCACGGCCGCGCACGTGCGGAGCCTCCTCCGCTCGTGGGGCGGCACCGCGGTGCCTCCTGCCCCATGGTGGCCCTGCCGAAGCTTAGCAAATAATCCCACTTATTATTTTGGGGATAAAATAACAGGAGTAAAAAAAAATACTAATATATATAGAATTTATTAATATACTAATATATTTAGTATTTTTTCCTATTGTTGGGCTTGTCCAGAATTTACCTTCCTGCTGTTTTTTGGGCTTGTGTCGTCTCGGGTGATCGCTGATCTGCTCGTGCAGCTTATTGCAGATCCTGAGACCCAACAAGCGGCAGCTCTCCCAAAATGTTTTGATCTGATTGCACCTCCCTTGCAGCTCCTTGGTGGGTAGGGATCAAACTTGTGGAGAGCCACCCTCGGGCCCACGTGTTGAAGACCCCTGTCCTGGGATTTCTCCTGCCAAATCCCTGGGAGCAGCAGGGGAGCGATGCTGGATAAAGCAGAATAATTTTTGGGCACAGTGGCTGGGGCAGCTGTGTGTTTCTCAACAGGATGGGAAACAGCCCCTCCGAAGGAGAGAGAAATAAGAAAAAATATGTATTAAAAATATTTATTTATTTATCATGGCCTATTATTCTGGGTTCGTTCCAGCAGCTTTGGAGTAGGGGACGCAGCCGCCCTGAGTGTTCCCTGCCCCACGTCTTTGGAGGGCTTTGGAGGAGTGAGGGGCATGGAATTCCCTTGCCTGGTGTTTCCTCACTGACTGTTAGGCATCGTACATCCTGCAGGGTACAGAAGGCTCTGACAACCAGTGTTTTATTACCTGCAAAACTCTGTTTTTAACCATCTCTTTCTCTTGAGGCATCTCGGGACTCCTGCGCTTGTGCAAATCTTAGCTACTTTTGAGAGAGCAGCAAAGGAGAGAAGGGAGCCAGAAAGGCACAACCTTGTACTCGAATAAGAAGAGAAATGATTAAAAAAAATGAAATCTAGAAGTACTTAAAATATTTGACTCCTGCCCTGGTGCTTTGCACACAATCTGGAGACTTCATTTATACGATAATTAAGAGATTTACCGTTTAAAAGTGCTTTGGTTCTGCTTTTAAATCTATTGCAGTAGATAGGCAGGAGCCAAACCTTTCTGTGAGCAAAATCTGAGGGGCTTTTCTTCTGCCCCCCCTTTTTTCCACTGCCGCCTCCCAGCCCCATCCACGTGCAGGACTTTTCCCTTAAGGAATTGTCCGTATTTGGCCTCTTGGTACCCGAGGGCGACGTGTGAGGAAATGATGTAAATCAGTGCCTGCCTCGACCCAGATGGCTTTTATCAGCAAAAAATGAACCTGCTTTTTCTTCTTTTGTCTCCCTCCTGCAGAAGCCCTACAGAGGCCGGTGGTGTCCGATTTTGAGCCGCAAGGTCTGAGCGAAGCCGCTCGCTGGAACTCCAAGGAAAACCTCTTGTCCTGCCCGAGCGAAAATGACCCCCATCTCTTCGTTGCACTGTACGACTTTGTGGCAAGTGGGGACAATACCCTGAGCATAACTAAAGGTAAGGCTACCAGGCACGGCGGTAGGAGCGTCTGAGCAGGCCTAGGCAAACCACTGTGGAATGAGTTACGCACTGAGTTATACACTGAGTTATACACTAAACCCTATGGAATTCCTATTTACTGTGGGAATTCTTCTTAAGCAAATACAAGTGTTTCACCAAGACGTAACCTTTTAAAAGGTTAAATCCGTCTGAGGTTTTGTGCTGGGCAAGAAATTGTTTGCCAAAACTAAGGTCTTTGCTAGGAGCAAGAATGTTAACCGAGATGTTAAACTAAGCCGATTTTTCGGTTGGCCTCTGTCCTTTTAATTGTTCTCCTGAATGCAAAATGACTGTTGAGATGCAGTGTTTCCTTACTCAGTTTTTCTGTTCCTTGTGCGGGCTCCAAGTCGCATCTGCTTCCTTTGCTAAACAAAATGATTTTTTATTTTTTACTATTTATCTAGTCTCTCTGAAGCCAACTCAATTCAAGGATAATTTCCTAGGTTCTTATTAAGATAGAGTCAGAACCTGCAGCATCAGAACTGCTGTAGAACCACGTGGGAGTCTAACAAAGTCTGAAACATGCACGTGACTTTAGCTGGCTTTGATGGGTCCACTGAAGCTTAAAGAAAGGCACATGTTCCCCGTTCACCCTGATATCCCTTCCTATAGGAGATTATTTAATGATCCACAAGCCAGCAGGGCCTCGTCTTTGTACTCGGCTCCCAGTTTTGCCACGTGCAGTAATTACGTTTCCTTGTCGTGCTAAGGTGAGAAGCTCCGTGTCCTGGGCTACAACCATAACGGGGAATGGTGCGAGGCCCAAACGAAGAACGGCCAGGGCTGGGTCCCCAGCAACTACATCACCCCCGTGAACAGCTTGGAGAAGCATTCCTGGTACCACGGGCCCGTGTCCCGCAACGCTGCCGAGTACCTCCTGAGCAGCGGCATCAACGGCAGCTTCCTCGTGCGCGAGAGCGAGAGCAGCCCGGGCCAGAGGTCCATCTCGCTGAGATACGAAGGGAGGGTTTACCACTACAGGATAAACACTGCGTCCGATGGGAAGGTAGGCAACAGAAGAGAAAACCTTGCTCTGTTCTTTTTCCACCATCTGTACAAGGTCAAGCAGCAACAGCCGAGTTGAGCAGCTCAGAATCCCAGAATGGTTGAGGTTGGAAGGGACCTCGAGAGACCATGTAGTCCAGCCCCCCTGCTCTAGCAGGGACACCTAACTCAGCACTAAAAGCAATATCCATCACTTACAGTAGTAATAAGCTGTAATATTCTGCCACAGCTATGAGGATACAAGGTGATTCTTTTAGCAAACTTACAGGGAGATGTAACACAGCTCTGTAGCAAAACACATTATTTATGGTCAGAGATATTAGGGTTATGTCAGAGTTGAATACTATTAGTATCATTAATAACATACTCTAAGGTTGTTTCTTCGTCCCATACATTCAAAACATAGTGTCTAGGACTTGAGAGACTGTAAAATCAGACAAGTCTTTGCCTGTTGCATAATAATAATTCTGTAAATATTAGGGGCAGAATATTTGCCTTTTTTTCCAACTTTTTTGCAACTATTCTTCACGTTTTTTAACTAGTACTTTGGTTTCCCCACAGTATTTCCTGTGACTAGTGAAGACAGGGTAGGCACCTCCACTTTTAGGAGGACTGAGTTTCTCGTTTCATTTTTCTTTCAGCTTTTGGTGTGCTGTAGTAGTGTAGCCTTGTTTGTGGGTGCTGGGGGAAGCATTAGCTTAAAAGTGTATTTATTTGCAGGGTTTTTTTCTTGGATTTCATGAAAATGAAATGTTGGCGTTTGCTTTTGGAAAATCGTGGGTTTTTAATGAATTTATTTTAAGTAGCGACTCTATAAATCCAAGATTGCAGTGAGAATCTGGAGTGTGGCTACTGAAGCCCTTCTTGCTAGTGTCTAGTAGTTGATCTAACTAATAGATTTTCTGCCAATAAAATATTAAGTAGAAAGAAAAAGAAGAAGAAAAAAGCATCGTGGTGGCCATGGTTAATTTTGCTTTATCCCTTGAAAGCTTTATTCTTCTCACATCAATGAGTAAGAGCAAAATCTTTAGCACAAGAATGTAGCTATTGAGTGAAAATCTTTTCGTAAAAGATTGTAGGCAGTGAACACACACTGCTTCCTGTTAATCAGATTCATCCGTCCACCGTCTTGAAGATAACCAGATTTTATTCATTAACAAAAGACATTTTATCTGCTTGTGCAGATGGGTTGTATTGAGAAGGTTCTGGGTGCAGGATCCCAGGATGGTTGAGGCTGGAAGGGACCTCTGGAGATCATCTAGTCCAATCCCCTGCCCTAGCAGGGACACCCAGAGCACGGGGTGGCATCCCAGGTGGGTTGGGAAGATCGCCAGAGAAGGAGGCTCCACAACATCCCTGGGCAGCCTGTTCCCGGGCTCTGGCACCCTCACGGGAATGAAGCTCTCAACGTTCCCCCGTCCTGCGTAGACGCTCTGTGCTCAGCAGCATCGATGCTGCCGTGCTGTGCTCTCCAAGGGCTCCGTGGCAGCCCGGAGTACTTTTCCTCATCCTGTCTCCATAGTCAATACTCCTTCCTTTTGGATGGAAGCTGGAGATGAGCGGTGTTCCCAGGTCGAGCCAGGGTCCCCCATCAAGAAGCACCGTGTCCAGGATGCTGCAGCACATGCCGCCCAGCTTGGCTTGGGCACGTGAAGGCTTTTAAGATGCCAGAGCTGTCTTTATCCCCCCGAAAACACTCCTGCAGAGCTGCAGTAATCAATCCAGGGGTGGATTAGCCAGGTTAACAGCTCATTTTCCACACGGCTGCTTTAACTAGTGCCCTTGCCAAAGGTGCGGGTCAGCAGAATTGATGAGAACGGCTCTGCAGCCGATGGTGGCTGTGACCACGGCGGCAGCTGCTCCTGCAGCAGGTTAGCAGCTCTGCAGCAGGGTGCAGCCTCCCAGCCCCGCTTCCAGAGCCTGGGAGTCGGGAAGGAAAACAGCTGATAGAGGTGATTTCCCTTTGGGAAATGGAGGTGGCTGGGCTGGGATCCCAGCTCCGTTACCACTGCCCTGCACCGCCTGTGTCCTCACGAAGAAGGCGCCTCCCTGAACATGCGGAGCCCTTATTCGACCCTTTCTTCCTAGCAAGATATTGAAGGGATTAAGAAGAGCTGAGCACAGCTTGATTTTAGCTGCACTTAAACCGACCGCGTTGGGACTCAGCAACTGTAAAACACATATATATCCCCAGGGACTTCTCTTTTTACCTCCTGGTTTCACAGGTCATCCTCTTGTGGACCACCCCCTTAAATCTGGGAGGGCAAGTCATTAAAAGTGACTTTTCTCACTCAATGGGCACTCAGGCTTAAGGATGTGTCGGAGGTTGGCGTGGGTCGGTTATCCTCTCGAGTGAAACAGTATTGATGAGAGAAGAGACGTGCTCCGATGGCAGGAGCTGTGGGTGAGCAGAGCAGCTGGAGCCCTCTGAGACGCCGCCAGTGTCCTAGCTTGGCCGATCCTGCCCCAAAACCCGGCAAGCAGCCAGGAATCGGCAAAAAGGGTCGGTGGGAAGGGTGCTTGGAGCGCGGAGGCGGTGCGTGCACAGCACGCCGGGCCTGGCTCGGCCTGCTCCTCCTCTCGTCTCCTCGGGATACGTGCCGCAAATTCCACATGAAGATTACAACACGTCAACGTGACTCCGGTTCCGTTAGCGCTGAGAGGAGGCAAGGCCTCCACGAGCCCCTGCTCGGATTTGAGCCCTGCCAGCTTAGGAAACTCGCCCTCCTGAATGGCTATATGTGGGGATTTTGTTTATTTGTGGGTTTTTTCCTAATGTGAAGGGAAAAGTTTAGGCATGTTGAAGGAGAGAGGGTTGTTCTGTGGCCTGAGCAGGGCAATTCAGAGTTCAGATTCCCCATCCTGCTCAAGGTTTAGTGTGAAACCTCTGGCCAGTTGTTTAACTTCTTTCTCCATCTGTAATCAGGTCACATCATTTGGACACAGTATCTGATAAACTCTGATTTCCATGAGATTTTGACATCAGGAAATACAAGCTACCATCCAAACACTGAGAATTTCCTCTTGCATTCTTCCCTAGTACTTCCAAGTGGCAGCAGAGTTCAGCCTCATTTTTTTCCATCCATACATCTAGATTTTACTCTTCAACGTAATTTGTGAACAGCTAATTCCAGAAATTGTTCCTAAGTAGCTGTGGTTTGGTTTAGCTCTCTAGACCACTGACTAATGCTCATGCTCATACAAACTCTTTGGATCTTGCCTCACAGCTGTAAAAACCTCTTCTGTGCTGTCACTTTTGGGTTTCAGGAACATCTGTTTTTAAGGTGACTTCAGCTCTTCCCCCGTGAAAAAATGTTTTTCTTATTATGGTGTTGAAACGAGATTCCATCTAGTTACTTCACCAAAAGAATATTTGACCCCTTTTGGTATAGGATTGAGAACGTGTTCCCCGCGAGGATGCCTTTGTTTTCTTGAGATATGAGTTTCCATAGGAGTTTTGCTTATCTGCAAATGTGTCAGAAGGAAAATAAGGGTGAAGAAAGTCGGATTTTTGCAGTCTAGTGTGTGAAGCTCTCCCATTCCAAACATGCAGGTGCATCCAAAAGGGACACTGCTGTGCCCAGAGCAGTTCAAGGCACAACTTTTGTCCTGGTAGCAATACAAGGATTAGCTGCTCTGACTGTGCTCCTCTTCCCTGGAGTTCGGGTGTTGCTGCCCGCTGAGGAACTGCTATTTTAATGACGATTGATGATTTCACGTCAGTGTCAGGGTTGGTTTTGGCAGCTGCCTTTTTTGGGTGCCACATGCTGTATTTGCTCATTTCCTCACAGCCTTACCGAGGGAGATAGGGACGGCCACCCCTCTTGGCCCGCCCAGGCTGCAACCTGGTTCATTTGTGTGTGTTGATGTTTTTAGGTTACCCTCTATGTCTGAGCTGAGTGTTTTACCTTTCCATCACATGGTTTTTAAATAAATGCAAGGCCCACATAGATTGACAGGTTCTGCTGATAATAATCACTGCACATGCTTGAGCATTTAGCCGTTTCTCAGACTTAACTGGGAATTGGCTCAGGGTCACCTCAACCCGTCGTGACTTTCTCGGGTGACACAGCTCCTCTTTTCACTCACCTCTTATTCAAAGTCCTTCTGAGCTCCTGTGCTCAGGGATATTTGACCTTCCACAGTGCCTTTTATTCCCTCTCTTTGAGTCTGCTGTTTTAAGCAGATGTCCGCAAAGCAGGAACATCCATCCAGGCTCCAGTCCAGAGGCTCCACTCCACTTTGAGGACCCTTTTTTCCTCCCTCCAAGTATTTTTCTCTCTTGCAAACGCGTCACTTTTCTCTTCTGGGCACACTGGCTCATGGCTGCAGCTTCCCAGATGGAGTTTCGCCTTTTTCCATCCAAAAGAAATCAGTCTAGGTGAAAGAAGTGGAATTTGGCCCAAGTCTGGGATTGCAGGATGCCTGATGGCCCCGTTGGTTTCTTGGCCTCCCGAAATCCCGGACGGATGGTAACTGCCCCAGCACTGGTGAGCTCTTCAGTGCCCCGCTGTGCATCACGTGCAGGGCAGGCCCGGGGTGTTCCTTATGGACTCTTCCATAAGCTGATACTTCATGGGCAGAAATCACAGCTCTGCTTTCAGCAGGGTTGTCCCTTGCCAGGTGTTGGGCCCTTTTATGAAACTGGGGACCTCCCATGTCCTTTGTGCCTCTTCCAGTGCAGGCTGATGTCCCAGTGAAACCGCTTTGTTCTTCAGGTGTCATCAGCATCACTTTTTGCTACATTTCTGACTTTTGCCACCTTCCCTAGTAGAAAACTGGTTGTGAAAACTGGAACCAAGGTGGAAACGAGTCGCTTGCCTGGTATCTCTAACAGCTTTCCAGCCTGAAGATGCACCTGCAGGATAAATATCAAAAAGGTTCCAGAGCAGGGGTTGCAAAGGTGACTAAGCAGTGCCCCCCAGCAGGCTCTCGTTCTCAGGTGATGCTTTTGCTCCTCGGCAATGTCTCTGTGCAGAGAGACCCTACAGTGTGTCATCAACCCTGCCCATTGCAGGGAAGGAATGGGGGGCCGTGTGACATCTCATACACCCCCTTGCAGAGGCCTGGCCCAAGGGCAGGGAAGCCACCTGTGTGCCCTGGAACTCCATGGGGAATTGAGGCAGGTAAAAGGGCATAGTAACGTGCTCAGGACAGTGAGGGGAACAACCCCTAGTCTTTAAAACACTGCACAATCTTTCCTGAATAGCCTTATGAAACAAAATAGACATTTTAAGCAACCGCATGCTAATCTAATGATATTCTGCAGTCATTAATTCCCTCCTGTTTCAGAAAAGTCCCTTGGTTTTCCCTAAATCCATGGGTTTCCTCTGTAAGCATGGAGTTGGAGTTAGCTAGAGAGCAGGTTGAGCTCCCAGGACTGCAGGCCGAGCAGGAGTGACACGACCCGTCCACGTCCCAGTTTTGCAGCGTAGCCTCTGCATCAACGCCCCAGCGTGCAGGGTGGGAATGAGCTTTCTCTCTCCTTGCTCCCTAGCTGTACGTCTCCTCGGAGAGCCGCTTCAACACTTTGGCAGAGCTGGTCCATCACCACTCGACGGTGGCCGACGGCCTCATCACCACGCTGCACTACCCGGCCCCCAAGCGCAATAAACCCACCATCTACGGAGTGTCCCCCAACTACGACAAGTGGGAGATTGAACGCACCGACATCACCATGAAGCACAAGCTGGGCGGAGGGCAGTATGGAGAAGTGTACGAAGGAGTCTGGAAGAAGTACAGCCTCACGGTGGCTGTGAAAACGCTAAAGGTAAGGCTCCAATCTCTAAGCTTGCCTGGTCTTCTCTTTCCAGAGGGAATGAGGTTCAGGATATGGACCTGTCTTCAGTTGTACTTAAGTAATTTGAGTTTGTTGCAGCACTTTCTTTCCACACCGTAGGACCGGAGAAGAGAATCCATCAGTAAAGCCCTTCCACTGTGTGTTTTTGGGAGAATCTGATTCTGTTGTGGCTCTGCGTGGTACCTGGAAGAGTTGTGCCTTGAGAGGAGGGTGTTAATGGTGCAGCTTTTATTTTAGAGCATGAGAAATCTAAGAAAAGTAAATAGTGCTGTGATGTCTCGCATACAGGCGATGGCAAAGGTGAGCCATTCACAGATGAGCACATTGATACAAGCTGCTGTAATAAGGAAAATTATGGGCTGTGACTCATGCACCGTAAAATTCGAATGCTGTGTTTCAGAGAGGCTTTTAATGCTTTACTTGATGGTCTTATTTGGCGCCTTTCCCAAAGGACAAGCTCTCTATGTACCTGGAAACCCGCAGTAGTTGTTTATGGCTGCTTACAGTCAAAAGACACAAGAGGAGGAAAAAGTGCATCCAAGCTAAAATATATTAAATTTCATGAACAGCTTTAACAAGGAATCAGATAATTGGAGCTGTTTCTGACTCTGCAGTCCCATTTCTCTGTAGCTTGGTTTTCATGTCCCTTGAAATGCAGCTTGTGCTCTGTCAGTTTACAGGGTCATTGCTCAATTCATTTGTGTTTATAAAAGTGTCTCGAGACCTTTTGGCGCCACCCACACGCATTGCATTCGATTGCTTCATAGGAGCTTACGCCAACCTGCCACCACGTCCTCCAAGGGGGACACGGTTTGTGGCCTTACAGAGACAGGCATGTGTATTGGTTAATATTTTTTTCAATCAAAGAATCAGAGAATCCTTAATGTTGGAAGGGACCTTCGGAGATCCTCTAGTCCAAGCCCCTGCACACGCAGGGTCACCCAGAGCCTGTGGCACAGGCTGCGTCCAGGCGGGTTGGGAAGATCTGCAGAGAAGGAGGCTCCAGAGCCTCTCCTGGCAGCCTGTGCCAGGGCTCGGGCACCCTCCCTGCCAAGAAATGTTTCCCCAAGTTCCTGGGGAACTTTTGGTGCTTCAGCTTGTGGCCGATTCCTCTAGTTCTGTCAGTGGCCACCGCTGCAAAGAGGCCGCCCCGTCCTCCTCGCTGCCTCCCTTGGGGTATTTGTAGACACTAATCAGGTCCCTCCTCACCCTTTATGCACAGGGAATTTGGAAGTGTGGAACTCTAGAGATGTTTCAGTGTCAGCAGAAGCAAATATCCTCTGTTTGGGGAATCTTCCCTCCCTTCCACTCTTCCCTCCTTGGCGTCTCCGGTGGCTGTGGTTGCGGGAAGTGTTTTCACTTGGGCCTCTTGCTGCTGCCTGGAGGTTCCCGAGGCCGCTCCGGAGCGGAGCTCGCACGGGGAGCGGGTGACACCTAGCGTTGCTGGCACCCAGTGCCATGGGACCAGCAGGGGACCGCAGTGACACTGCCACAGCACGAGCCATTGGAGCCAAATGCTGCCATATCAAAGGGAGAAGAGAGCAGCTGGAGCCTGGGTCATGGCTGGAGCATCCACTTTTCTGCTTCTCGCGGCAGTGTGTGGATACCTGACATCTTCCCGGGTTTTATTTGCTCCAAATGGGAATTAGTGCATTCCTTTCCTCCCTCCAAAACCTGTCAACACGCTGAGGGTCCTGTGTTATCCTCTAGGATATCTGTGCGGAAGGAGGAGCCTCAGTGCGGACCGTGGTTGTTTTGAATACGTCAAATAAATATTTAATGAAACATGACGCCTGGTAGTTCATAATGTAACGGGGAGCAGCCTGTTCCACTGGGAAATGTCAAAATACTCGAGAAGAGGCTTGAGGAAAAACATCAGTCTGAAATTATGCACGCTAAAACCGTCCTTAAAAGCAGATTTATAATCCACCTTCCTTAACTCCCATCCGCCTGTTGCCTGACAGGTGGGATTACGGCTTTTTGCCAAGTTGGGGGAAATATTTTGAAATCACCTTTTTAATCACCAGGGGAAAACAAACCCTCAGCAGCTTCCTCTCAAACCCTCAAATGTCTCTATTTTCCTGGGAGAGAATATTTTACAAAATCTGCCGTGTCTGCTCTTGTTCCTTGCCCATCCCGCTCAGGTGCTGCATCAGAAGGAGAAAGGAGAGGCGAAGCACGAGACAGAAACCTTCGAGGGCTGCCGCGCAGCGATGTTTAGGAACGCCCGTTTGTTGTTCAGCTTTCCTCTGGGTGCCTGTGTGTAGCTCAGAGCCAGTGCAGAAAACAAGAAGACACAAAAAAGACGCCCAAATAGCACATCCTGTTTTTCAGTTGTGTTTAACTGGTTGCTCTACGGGCACCGAGCTCTTTCCCATTGGGATATTGCCCTGGCAGCTCTGTGGACGGGACGCGGGAGTGTTTGTTGGGGTTGTCTTCTGCACCATGTCACTCTTTGTGCTTCTCCACCTCTTAGTGATGGAGAGGGGCACCAGGTAGGCAAGGACCTTGTGCTGCTGGTGAAGCCTTGGGACCTGCCTATTTTTGGGTGAAATCCAGCTGTGTTTGGCAGCTACCAAACCCCGTTGCCATCTGAGGGCAACTTAGTGGCTCTGCTGCTGTGAGCTGGTCATCTCAGCACGTTTCCCACCACTCTGATGTCCAGGCTGCACCAGTAGAGATGGCCTTTGCCTCGTTTTTGACTGGAGAAACCTGTATTTTAAGTTAGACAAGTGCAACCTTGAGGTCCCTGGATGCGGTTTCTTGAAGTCTAAGCTGAGGTGTGATCCTGTCCTCTGCTAGGAAAGCATTGCTGGAACCATATTGCTCATTCCGTGGTTTTATACCGGGAAAGATTGAAACTGGATAAGTTTGATCCTTCTCATGTGCCTATATTTGCAGAGAGATCATCATTACGGTAATTGCGGCTGTTTGCCTTGTGCTAAATTAATCACCAAGAGGCAGGAGACTTAAAACAATAGAGCAGCTCTGCAGAGCAAACCTGTCAGGGTTTGTATGGCACACATGAGATAAGTGCGTATTTAGGGTCATTTTGCAACTTGGATCATTAACCCACTTTCGTTTGCCAAAGCAAATGGTTGAAAGTTCTGCTCACGAGGACCTCTGGGCTATTAGAATTGACAGAGAGCGTTTGGAAAATTGCAGCTGCCAATCAAACTAATTGGCAACGCATAGTAAATGATGGGATGAGAGTGTTTGAAGCAGGTTCTTGTTGCTAACTGCAAAGCAAAACGCTGGCTGGATCTTACGGCAGCGGCAGCCCTCTGTTATCATTCTCACCAGCAGCAGTAAATCCTTTCCAATCCTTCCTTAAAACACTTCGTCCATGTAGGCTGTCAACATTAATCCAGCGCTGAAAAAAATATGGATATCGAAAGGAGCGTTGCTTTAGAAATAGATCTGTATTTTTGCACCACTTTGAAATGACCTTCCGGCCATGTAGGGTCTGCTTGCTGCGGAATTTATCAGTCTGGGGAGCAAGACTGCATCTCGCTCAGTTTTGTGTTGTGCCAAGCAACTTTATGGCGCTCGGCAAATAGGCAGTGACACATCTGCCCACAACGGTTACGTCGCGGGTCGGGCACTGAGAGCCAGAAATGGAGCCTGTGAAACCTTGGCCTTTGGGTTACTGAGGAACTACCCTCGCTCAGGCTTCCCTGGATGGCAATGGGCATTTCTTACCTATATCCAGGGAAAATAGGGCTGCATTTCAGCAGTTGCTCGGGCATTTGATTGTGGTCTATGCTTCCCCTTTTTTTTTTCCTCTCTTTTTTCCTTCTTGTTTCTTCCCTCACTGTTTATTTTATTTTCCCTGTTTATTCCCACTAGGTGCCCATTTAGCCTTTCCCTTCGCAACTCCAGAGTGCACCTGCAAAAAAGGGATATGGATCTTTTTTGACCCAGAACTCCCGTTAGAATAAATAATAATAAATCCATATTTAAAAATCCTACAGAAAATCCTACACACTATTCCTAAGTCCCTGGTGTTGCATTGCAGCCAAAGGCAGAAACTACCTTGAAAGAGCTGTGCTTTATATCGTTGGTTTGTGGGATTTTTTCTTCCATCCTCAAACAAAAATCGGCTTTTTTTGTGCTCCCTGTCTTGCTAATGCTTCCCTATTGTTCTGCAGGAGGATACCATGGAGGTGGAAGAGTTCTTGAAAGAAGCCGCAGTAATGAAGGAGATCAAGCATCCGAACTTGGTGCAATTATTAGGTGAGTGATAAATACCAAGCAGAGGGATTTGAACTAAACCCTTGTGCAGTGATATGGATGTTAAGGAGGAGATAAGCTGCTTACCGTACCAAGGCTTTAAATACAGGCACTTATTGTCTGGCAAAATTCGCAATTTGTACCAGTAATACATGGTTTTTAATGATCTCTTCTCCCTAACATTTAAGTTGCAGGAGTCTTAAGCAGGAAATTAAAACTGTCTATTAGCCAGTTCCAAGCAAAATTTATTCTATATGCAAGTGCTATATTTCTACCTTCTAGAACTATAAATTGCCCTGGGGCGGGGGAAAGAACGGATGGCACAATGAGCTCCTCCAACATTCAAGCTTGATGTTGCTCCTTAGGGGTGTGCACGCGGGAACCTCCATTCTACATCATCACGGAGTTCATGACTTACGGGAACCTGCTGGATTATCTGCGCGAGTGTAACCGGCAGGAGGTGAACGCCGTGGTGCTGCTCTACATGGCAACCCAGATCTCCTCGGCCATGGAGTATCTGGAGAAGAAAAACTTCATTCACAGGTAGGAAGGACGCAGAGCACTCGTCAGTGTCAAGCACCAAGCCCTCTTTGATTTATTTCCCTGCCTTTCAGATTATCCCAGCAGTGAATTTAGATGTGGTAGGTGTCCTACATTTAATACTCCGGTGTGTTGTGTTCTGCTAGAGCACATTATCCTATCTGTAGGCTGGTCTTCACATTGCTTTTCTTTGCCAGGATAATTTTTCTTACTTTTGCAGTACATGCAGGTTAAAGAGCTGTCAGTTCTTACATCTTTTTTGACAGGAGTTTTGTATGTAAATGCTTCCTAAAATAATAGGCTCTTAGTGGACTGGATAAACTACTGTTCTTCCTTGATTCTAAGAACCATTTAAAACTGATGTAGACTGATATTTCTTCTGTGTTTACAGGTGCTCACAGCAAAGTCACCCACTTAGTGCCTTTTGTCATGGGTTCATTCCTGTTTTTTTTTTTAATCCTCCCTATAGGGATTGTTTTCCTCTGTTGTCCAGATTGTGCATTTCACTTTAATAAGCATCTTTGCAGTCTTAAAGTCTCAGAGACTTTGACCTTTAAGTGAGCTGCAATTATGGCCGGGGCTTTGCATTCTTTGTCTGCAGAAATGGCCTCCTAGCAATATAATGACACATCCTGCACAAAGGTTTGAGAGTTGCTGAGTTTAATACAAGATGTTCTCCGTGCCACACTGTGACCTTTCCTACCCAATTAACTGGCGCAGGAAATCAGCACATGTTTTCTCATAGAGACAAATATGAAGATCATGTGTGAAGTTCTAGGTGCTCCTCCAAGAAGGACGTTGCTTTTCCTGCGTGAAAGCCCCCTTTAAATGCTTCCGTCCATCACTAAAGGGAATGACGAGGCTGCAAATTAAGATTTCCAGCCTTTGATTTGCTCTGTTGAGGAGTATTTCATCCCCTCAGCCCGGAGGAAGTGAACTTTAAAACCTGTTTTGCTTGAATCCTGTTTGTCTGCTCTCCTGTTCATTTCATTTCCTCTTATTTCTGATGACCCATTTATTGTAAATAAATAGGGTTTTTTCCTTATCTGCTACCCCCACACCCACCTACCTAATTATTTTAAAAGTGGGGGCACAATTCACACCCATGGATTCAAATGCTGGGCGGTGACCTCATTTAATGAAGAAGGAGGAATTTGATTATGAGGAAGAGCTATTGTTTAGAGGCAGGTTGTAGTAATCAGCATTGATAACAAGGCCTATTGAAAAACACTGAAAATTTATTTAGCCTTTAGACAGGCGTACTTTAAAAGTTTATTCTGTGTTGAATAAATCAAGCAAAGGAAAAAGCAGAGTCTGCCTCGCATCTGAAGAACATCTCACTCTAGCTCTATGGTAAAATCATTTTTTAATTCAACGTAATGTAGGAAAAAATGTAGTTTTAGCAAATCCTAAATTAGGATAAAAGTATTCCTGCACTTCCGCAGTTTGTACTCATGCAGTGTTTCTGATGGTACCTGTGGCACATCTGAGCCGGGGAGGTGGCAACACAGGGAATTTGTGCATCCCTCACCTGCTATAGCAGAGGCGGGTGAAATTTGGAGGAAAAGCTCAAGTGAATTATTGCCCAGTATTTTAAGCATGGTAGCAGAAGCCACAGTAGTTTTGAAAAGGCCAAGCACTCTCCTGTTTGAGCATTGGAGCTTCTTCTAATTGAAAGGTTAATAGGAAAAGGCATTTACAGCCAGCTGTCCTGCAGCTACATCTCCTGCTTGCGAGGAAGCTGGGGATGCTGCTTGATAGGTGCAGCTTCCGAGGGGTCCCTAGGATTAGATTTTTCCTTTTTCCTCCCTCCTTTTTCCTCCCTCCTTTTTCCTCCCTCCTTTTTCCTCCCTCCTTTTTCCTCCCTCCTTTTTCCTCCCTCCTTTTTCCT